TTGCACTCATTATGCTTGGATATGAGTGTTAGGCATTAAATACTGAGATGAGACTTATAGACCCCCTAATCATTACTAGTTCAAATATAAATAGCCTTCAAAAAGTTGAACAAAAGTACGTAAACTAAATCTAGAAAATATACTGTGCTAATATCTCTAATGCCGACTGACTTAACCTTTGGAAAAGAATAGCCATNTTCACTCTCCCGAGGAGGTAAATCTTGAGGAGATTGGATTGGATTGCACTCATTATGTTTGGATATGAGTGTTAGGCATTAAATACTGAGATGAGACTTATAGACCCCCTAATTATTACTAGTTCAAATATAAATAACCTTCAGAAAGTTGAACAAAAGTACGTAAACTAAATCTAGAAAATATACTGTGCTAATATCTCTAATGCCGACTGACTTAAGCTTTGGAAAGGAATAGCCAGGTATTCACCTGGCCCATTTCATAACCTTTTGATTGGCTCAAGTTCATCATCCAAGGGATCATTATCTATATTCATTGCAAAAATTCACCCGTGCAATTTTCATAATGTATATCTCGATTGAGTGTTTGTATCTAATATTAGTAACGTGTTTTTTTTTCTATATAGGATATCTAAGTTTGCATCGACTATTCTTTCGAACTCAGTGACTGGTCATCTTGATTTGAGTTGAGTTAGAATATGTCCCNTCATAATGTATATCTCGATTGAGTGTTTGTATCTAATATTAGTAACGTGTTTTTTTTCTATACAGGATATCTAAGTTTGCATCAACTATTCCTTCGAACTCAGTGACTGGTCATCTTGATTTGAGTTGAGTTAGAATATATCCTTAAAAGAATAATTGTGGTCAGCCCTTAAAGAATTTAGAATTAAATTAAATATGAGACCTCTAACTTATCAAAAATCAAGCCCAACTTCAAAATCATTCATAAATATTGTAACTTGTGGCATTATTTGCAAGTATAAATGGAGATTTACTTGCCGTTATCGTTTCTATTAAAGGTTAATCAAAAACCTTTAAAAATGTTTTTAAACACACTGGAGTTTAGGAACANCTTCAAAATCATTCATAAATATTGTAACTTGTGGCATTATTTGCAAGTATAAATGGAGAGTTACTTGCCGTTATCGTTTCTATTAAAGGTTTAAAAATGTTTTTAAACACACTGGAGTTTAGGAACGCCATTAGAAAATTCCAAATTTCTGTACCCTACATTGATTGAGATTAGTTACAAATCCACCAGCTTGATTAATTGAAGCCTTAAACAAGTACAATCTGCTCCTGTTCTTAGTGTCTAATCATTTGATCAGGTTGGATTTGACTAGAGAGATTCTTTTGAGTGGGACACTTCCATTTTCTATGTCACCCTTCTTTTCCTGCTTGCAACTTGCAAGTACTAATATTTTAAGGTCATTATTAGACCTAATAATTTAACTTTGAACATTAACTAGATTGTAAAAAACACTCAATTCTTGACTTCTCTGTTAAATTCTAAAATTTTCCATTTCAGATGTTATGGGGGTGATTGCGCATATGCAGAGTTGACCTTATAACTAAGAGTCTAAAGGACGTGTACATCATATGGTTCTTATTATCATTCAATAGTTTTAATTATATTTTATCTCCTATAAATTATGATTCTAATTTTATTTGTTTGAGCCCTTGTACTTTGAGTTATTGTAATTGTTGCCTAAATTATTTAAATTTTGATGGAAAAAATCTACATTTATTATTTCAAAGACTGATATATCAGCTAGTTTTCGTCCAAAAATTTACAAGTGTGTCAAATATCACACATTTGAATAACTAAAGGTGGAATCTGTTCAAATTAATTATTGACGGTGGAGAGTGAAATCAATATCAAGACCATTGTGGAAGGGAAAAGTTGTAGTTTGTCCCTAAGAGCTAAAACATTTGCCATTCCTTTGGGAGTTTGAATGGAATTGACATGGGAGTGGTCATCTACCATCTTCTCTTCTTAAATTTATCATGAAACTGCAAACATTGGCTATACACTTGTAGATTCAATCGCTAAAATAAGTTGGGTATGGGGCTGAATTTCATATTTAATGTTTTGATCCCTTCTTCCGAACCATTTTACGAGCTCCGTGAAGGGAATAGTTTCAATTGGTGATCAGTCATAGCGATGGTAAAACATGTATTTGCCCATTTTATTGGATGTCATTTGTTAGAGTAGTCAATATTTTCTCCGACTTCGGATAACAATTAAAAAAAAATGTTTGAATAATGTTTTCAAATTAATATTTAAGACGAATATTCAACAATATTTAAGGGCATAAAATGAAATTAACATTGAAGCTGAAGGAAATGTAATTAATGATTTAATATTTGTCCATCTAGTTCTGAGTGCGATTTTGTGCTCATATCTAACATTACCAACTTGTGGTTATAATTGCTACTATAAATGGAGTGACGAATTAGCTGTTGTTTTTCCTTTACGGGAATAATCAAGTACAAAACTGTTGTAGTCTCAAAGTCCTGCACTGGGGCATCTAAGAAAAGTCAGGAAAATGGTTTAATACATGCATTAAACTATAGTTTGGGATTACTCTAATACATTTTTTGGTAAATTTTATTGACACCCCCTCTAAATTGACCTAATTCTAGAGACACATCTATAATTTCTGAAATATCACTGCTCACCCTTGCAATTTATGTCGAGTTTCACATAATACCCCTGTAATCAATAGCGTTACTGACATGTAATAGAAAATGTAATGTCATGACATGTTATCGTGATCTCAATGTGACTGATGCCAAGAATTCTAACAAATATCTCTATTATCTCCCTATTCTTATACAATCTAAACATATCAATCACATCATCATCACTGTTAAAAGTCATTTTGAAATTGCTATTAGGCAACTTGAAAAAAAGAAATATATTGAAAAATTCACATTTGACAGCATGTCATCCAATGCAATTGCACAAACATCCACTAAAAGTTCACCATGACAATAGTGCTCAAGATCCACATTCTTAATCTTGTTCACTTGGTTATCATAGAAATGACTAAGATATGATATATATAGTTCAATTACTCATCTCTGTATACACAGTAAGGACAAACACTGCATTTTAATTAAAGGTAATTGAATACACAGAAAACATAATTTGCAGAAATGACGAAAAATGTTCAATTATAGAAAAATGTCAAATATGAACAACTATAGAAAAATGTCAAAACCCCCGATCATCTATTAAATTTGGCAAAATCCCAGATTATCCAACTTGCCAAATCTCAAATTTGTCAAGTGAAAATCGTAATTTAATTAATGAAAATGAAAATCCTAGTTTACCCAATGTATATAGAAACCCTAATTTCACCACTGTACATGAAAACCCTAATTTACCCAAGTTATATGAAAACCCCTATTTTACACGACAATACGAAAATAGAGGCCCATTCAACCAAAAAAAAACTCATTATTAAAATGCATCTAATACAACACTTACCGATCACTTCTATTTGTATCTTCTGAATTTTTGCTTCCACTTCGTGTCTGTGATGTAAGGTGGAACCATGGTGTGCACAAACAACGTCAATGGTGGATGGTTTGTTAAAGGGCTTATGAGAAGAGAGGCAGAAGAAGGGGTGGGTTTGTGAGATCTCTTTGTTTCTCCATAACTAGCATATGGTTTTTGCTTTAAATACATCCTGTTAAACATGGGTTTAAATGCAACCGTAGTTTGGATTAAAGGGTAATTGAGTAATGTCGCAATTTCCGTTAATTGACATAATCTACAATGGTGTGAAATGACATTTTAGAAATCATATGAGGTATCTCTGAAATTAGATCAATCTAAAAGCAGTGTTAATGAAATTTATCCCACATTTTTAGTCAATTTCACTCAAATTTCTCACATTTGGGGTCGGTTTTTAGCCCTCTGATTCCCTATCGTAACTGAATTTTACATTTTAGTTTCTCCTGCTATTCTTTTTCTATGGCCCCTTATTTTTTATACCATGACCANTAATGAAATTTATCCCACATTTTTAGTCAATTTCACTCAAATTTCTCACATTTGGGGTCGGTTTTTCGCCCTCTGATTCCCTATCGTAACTGAATTTTACATTTTAGTTTCTCCTGCTATTCTTTTTCTATGGCCCCTTTATTTTTTATACCATGACCNTAGCCCTCTGATTCCCTATCGTAACTGAATTTTACATTTTAGTTTCTCCTGCTATTCTTTTTCTATGGCCCCTTATTTTTTATACCATGACCAAAAAAAAAAAACTATTGAGGATGAGATAGAATACAAACTCTTTCTCTCTATCTCTAATTTTTTGCTGGCTGTGGAACTCTTCCTTGTTTTGGAGAAAGAGACAACCAGACAAGTGCCACTTTTTCTTGGCCCTCGGGATTTGGATGCTAACATGGTGAAGCAACTGACAAAATCAAATTCCAATTCCACATAAACCAAAAAAGAATCAAAAGTAATCACTTTCCCTATTCCCATGGGCGAACATCAGCCTTTCCCTTTACTATCACTCCTCACATTTTGCTTATCGTTTCGATCTCGAATCTTCATTTTCTCTCTCTTTTTTTCTTTTCCTCTGTTTCATCAAAATATGTCACTTTTACCTATTTGCGAACACCCATTAAACCCAACCCCTCCCCTCCCCTCCCCTCCCCTCTACTTCTTTTTCAGTATTTGTCTCTGTTCACACCCCTACTCCCCAACCCCACACAATCTAACAGCTTGAAAATAATAAAAAGGCAGTAGCCACGTAATTTATAGAAATAATTCGCAAATGGGTACAACATGCTTGAGTTTAAGTTTTATGGCTTTGGATGATAAATAAATAGGCGTAGACCCATGAAATATGTAGGTTGATACAAACCTAACTAGACACCAAGCTAACTATTTATATTTACAGATGAGTGGAACATAAATAAAGCAAATTTTGACACATGACCATTTAAACTCAACACAAATTCAAAATAAAACAATTAATTAGGAGTCCGAGCTGAACATATATTTAACCAAAGCACATACATGATAAATATTATACCTCCCACAAAAGTATACACAATAAATAAATTGAAATAAAATTGTAACAATTTGATTCAATTTCTAAGGATGGAAATTAACAGATTAAGCCATTAGCGATGGCACGATTCCTGGCAAGATGAGTTGTTTCGTACACCGGAAGGTCCTCACAGAATCTCTTATTTCCAAAAAAAGCCAAATGATCAAGCTCGAACAGATCCGAACTCGAATCACTTGCTGCATCATAATCATCTTCATCATCGTCGACATAGTTGTTAGCTTCATTTCTTAACACCATGAAATTATTCTTCTTGTGATTTTGATACCCTTTAAGATTATCTCTCTTCCCTTCCACAACTTTCAGATTTCTCTGGGTATAAAGGGTTTTCTGAAATTCTGCAGGTTTTGGCAATGGAGATCTTAATTTCTCGGAATCTTCATCGTATATGCACTTATGGCCGCAAGGACGACAATCTTCATCTACAATAACACCAACTGGGAAGAATCTGACCGTTCTTTTGTTGCCATTTTTCCTTTTTTCTCTTGAATTTGGGGAAGTTTTGCTCAAACATGACCTTGAAAAGGAAGAAGCTGATGAACATGTGGACTCTTGAGTGAACTTTGTTTTCCTCTCAAAACAAGCATCCACATAACCCCCAACTGGGCCTGAGTTCTTTGCCTTCTTGGCATTCCCATTGGTGAACAGAGAGTTGAGGAAGTTTGTGATTCGGCCTCCGGGTGATATGGGCTGTTTCACCTTCTTCAGATTTGCATAAATCTTCAAGGCCCTTGATTTGGAGTTCATCATCAAACTGACTTCTTCTTTGCTTGTTTGATGATTTTGATAATCGTCAAAGAAGTAAAAATCACTTTGTTCATGTGAGATTGAGTTTTCCAACTTTCTTGTTCGGTCGGAAACACTGGTTCTCACCGGTTTAGGCCACGGCGCAGTAAAACAAGAAGAGTTTGATTTTGCAAAGCCAAAAGATTCTGTTTCAGAGGATGAAAATCCTCCGAAACTAGAATCGGAAGAGCTCGAAGTTGAACTGAAGAACAGGGGATCATTGATGTCGTGAAGTGCCTTTCTGTCCATCTCCGGCAACGAGGACTCCCGCCGCCGAGCTGTGACTTTGTCGCTCACCCTTTTTTCCATCCACTTTTCGATCAAACAAGCCCGCCGGAGACTAGCCATCCCTTCGTCTTCTCTGTCACTTGTCCTTGCTCTGACAGTGGCACCACTTTTAATGATCTGTTTTTTGAGTGTTCTTTCTCCGTAATTTTTCAAATCTCCAGGCTTTTGATCACCGTCATCGATGGAACGATATATTTCATCGAGAAGACTCGAAGAAAATGATGGGTTTTTTGGATTTTTCCTCAGTTTGTCTTCCCTCAACGATTTCTCCAAACTATACATTGCTTCGATGTATTTCTGCTACCTATTGTGATGTATATGTAAGACAGATACTACGTGAGAGACAAAGGATAGGGCGGATAGAAACAAAAGATGAACAGAAAAACGGAGAAGAATGTCTTTTTTAGATTTTAGAGAGAGAAAAAACGGAGAGAGAGAGAGAGGGCAATGAGAGCAAAATGCCACGCCTGATGGCTCGAAGAGGAATGAAGAGAAGGGAATAGGAGAGAGAAGTTTATAAAGGGGAGCCATGCGCGTGCATGGTGCTCCTAATTGTAGCCGATGCCAGTTTGGCATTTGATTACGTGGCGCTTGAAAGTTTTTATGCCAGCATTACCCTTCTTCTTGGATTAAATCTGCCATCTACTTTCACTTTACAAATTCAAATTTGAAGCCATGATGTAGCAAGATAGCAATTTTTGCAAATAATGACCCATACTTACAGCTACCAATGTTTAGTACTTTAAGCCGAGTCTGATTAAATATAAATTAATATTTTTTATTAATTATAAAAATCTGTTATATGTTATTTTAGATTCAAGTACTAGTTGTGTGTAATTAATTATATGTATCTAAAGTTTACCTAAGAATAATAGATCAAAGATATTGGTAGGCCGACTAAAAATAAAACTTAAAAACATAAACTAAATTCCCTCCATCACCATATTGAATCCCTAGAGCATGTGGAGCCAATATAATGATACTTTTGTTCCATTTTTACACACTTAATATGGGGTAAAATGTAGTTTACCCCTTATGATTTGGAGCCTTCACAAATGACCCCTCCTAATGTTTGGAAATCAATACATAACCCCTTGTACTTTTGGACTAACTTGTTATTATCAGTTTTCCGTCTAAATTGACGGATTATAAGACATGCCTCAATCGAGATTGGTCTTGCAAGAAATTTATTTTATGAAATTGAAAAGAAAAATAAGCACTTATAGAATTTTTTACACTTTTCTCTTCCCTATCCATCTTTTTTTACAATTGTTATCATATTTAAAACAAAACCCTAATTCCCTAACGGTGTTTGTGCCTAGTAACCCACCCACTCAGGCAACACACACAAGCACAGCACACACATNGGAGCCATGCGCGTGCATGGTGCTCCTAATTGTAGCCGATGCCAGTTTGGCATTTGATTACGTGGCGCTTGAAAGTTTTTATGCCAGCATTACCCTTCTTCTTGGATTAAATCTGCCATCTACTTTCACTTTACAAATTCAAATTTGAAGCCATGATGTAGCAAGATAGCAATTTTTGCAAATAATGACCCAGACTTACAGCTACCAATGTTTAGTACTTTAAGCCGAGTCTGATTAAATATAAATTAATATTTTTTATTAATTATAAAAATCTGTTATATGTTATTTTAGATTCAAGTACTAGTTGTGTGTAATTAATTATATGTATCTAAAGTTTACCTAAGAATAATAGATCAAAGATATTGGTAGGCCGACTAAAAATAAAACTTAAAAACATAAACTAAATTCCCTCCATCACCATATTGAATCCCTAGAGCATGTGGAGCCAATATAATGATACTTTTGTTCCATTTTTACACACTTAATATGGGGTAAAATGTAGTTTACCCCTTATGATTTGGAGCCTTCACAAATGACCCCTCCTAATGTTTGGAAATCAATACATAACCCCTTGTACTTTTGGACTAACTTGTTATTATCAGTTTTCCGTCTAAATTGACGGATTATAAGACATGCCTCAATCGAGATTGGTCTTGCAAGAAATTTATTTTATGAAATTGAAAAGAAAAATAAGCACTTATAGAATTTTTTACACTTTTCTCTTCCCTATCCATCTTTTTTTACAATTGTTATCATATTTAAAACAAAACCCTAATTCCCTAACGGTGTCTGTGCCTAGTAACCCACCCACTCGGGCAACACACACAAGCACAACACGCACGCACTATAACATCACACCTCTCATTTCCCTTCTTTCTCTGACTTTGTCATTTCCCAGCCTTCCCTTTTTCCCTCCACACCCCATCACCTCCTCTCCATTTGCTCATCACCCACACACCACCTATAACGCCCTAAAATTCACCTTCAAATGCATTACTATCTATACAACATCCAGCCATGAGAGTATTTAAAATAATTACCAAATAATATAAACCATCCATCACTTTAAATAAAGAACTAAACCAATCCCAAAAAAAAACATAATTAAAACCTTCCTGTTACATTCAAAACTCAAATCAATACTAATCTTCCAACTAATCAAATAAAGACTAATATCCAAAATATTGTTAAACCATTAAAATAAAAAACCAAAGGAAATATTTCTAAATCCACACCTATATCCCACTGTACTTTCTCATTTAACTCAAGATCTTCCTCAAAACTGAAGTTTGAAAAATTATATATATCGTAGGATGAGCAAAAAAACCCAATAAAGAAACCTTTCAAGCCCAACAATGTTTTAAAAATATAAAATAGGTAAGTCTCACTTTGTAAAATAATATATAATAATTTGAATTAAAATAGTGACAACTGATAAGAACTTAGGTTTATACTAACACACAAAAAAAATTCATATAAGTAAACAAAGTCACAACTCTCAAGCCACATATATAAAGACCATCAACATATATCTAATATACTCATACAGGTTGGCTAACAAGATTTACACATCGAGCATATCTTGGCCCCCTCCCCCCACACAATCAACAATACAATCATCACAAGTATGAGCCATTTTCAAGAAGCGCATATATCGACGCATCAACATTGACATAATTTTTCAAGAATAGTACACTAACTCTCCACATGAATCACCATGAACGAATAGTGGTTTGGTTCTCATAAGGCGGCAACTCCACTACGAGTGTTAGAAAACTTTCAAACCCCTCAAATTAAGAAACTCATCTAATCCCTCTACGATACCTGATCAACTGCAACCCACGTTAATCACACCCACTAGACAAGATATAATTTCCACAATTTTTTCATAAAATCCAACAACAATCAAGAATCATGGTTCCATCATCTTTCAAAAAGAATAACTCATAAAACATACAAGAGATCTTCAATAAGCATATTTGCATTACTCATAACCAAAATTAGCATTGTAGAAATCAAGAACATGAGAGTTTTGATATAAAAAATAGATAAGTTAGGTTATAACTCAAGAATTAGGATTTTTTGATACAGAACGAATGAATTTTGGATAAAAAAATCATTTATATTTAAGAAATGATTCACATAGTCGAAAAAAATCCCCAATAATTGTCTATGTAACATATATATACGGACTGAAAGCATAAAAGTAATAACCCTAGCCTCAATCTTGAATTTGCAAAAGAAACTCTACCTTTAATCCGTGATTTAGTGCAACCCTAGCGTGTTGATCCGTTTCCTGAGTGTTAATTCTTTGAAATCTTGCTCTTTTCCTTTCCTCTCACACTTTCTTGGCTTCCTAGGGTTCAAAGTTGTTGAAAACTGACCTAAGAAACATCCTTAGGGTATTTTATAGGGTCAAAATCTATACAATTGGTGCGAGTCTAATCGCTGTAAAATTACACTTACATTCAAACATGCCTCATTCGAACGTAACTTGCATTCGAATGTTCCTTGCTTCCAGTATCTCTAGTTCTATCAGACTTTCTATCAAACCCCAAAGACTGTGGCTAAGCCTTATTCGAACGTGATTGGCGTTTGAACATAACTCCAATTTTTGTCTAAACTTTCAAAGTAGTTTGGACCTAGTTAGAACTCGATTCACAATTTTTTTTGTGAAATACACTTTTGTAACTCTTGGAGTTTATTTTCTACTGCCAAAAATGAAGCTCAATCTAATGACCGAATAAAAATTTATGGGTAAAATACTAAGGTAGTATCTAGTTATTTCTTCCTAATTTCTCCCAATGATGACTATAAGATTCAAAAACACTTACTATCTTCTAATGCAACATATATATCTTGATAATGCACAAATCGATATTGTGCAAAATCAATAGTCAAGAATGTGTAAAGGTACAATCAATGAGCAGTAAACAAGCAATTAATAATAAAGCTGTAAATAAAGAGTCAACACAGAGATTTATAGTGGTTCGGTCCGTATGACCTACTCTACTCTCGGAAATGGCAAGAGTGGTCAGAGTCTTTTATTGAAGAATAATGTGACTGGGAGAGTAACTCCGGGAGTATTACAGTGTTTAGAGAGCAATGTGTGTAGAGAGATATGTAGTGATTTCAAGGCGATGCCCTCTATGTGTAGAAGGCTTACATTATATAGGTTCATTAAGGTAATGAGGCGGTGACGTGAGGAAAGAGATTTCTACCATTTTGGTAAGTACAATTATGATAGGATTGGATCTCTGTGCGTATCCCGATATTCTCTCCCTCGTGTTCATATTCCTTCGGAGAAAGATACTGAGTTGGATTGGGCTTGATCCTGAGCCTGGACTTTGAGTTGGAGTGGACTGGACTTGAGTTGAAGTACTTCCAATGGTGCTGAGGAAGACTGAGGAGGAAAAAACAGAGGACGGAGATAGGGCAAGGAGCCAGCCCATGGGCGGCGCTCCATTAAGGACCATTGGGCGATGCCCTCTTAAGGGCTATGAGCGGTGCCCCCTTGTCCTAGGTGCTGGCTTCTTGACTCATTTGGGCACTGGTTCCTTTTTGGTGCTTTGGACTTCCTCCTATGGGTTGACCTAGCACTGATTGGGCTCTTCTTTGGGCTTAGTTTATTTTAAATTAGGCTTGACCCAATCAAATTCGGGATCATCATATCTAATTCTTAAATCATTGTTTATATATGAAACAAATGGTAGTTACTATGCATTATTATAAATACCTTGGGGTTTACAATCCAGCCCATTAAAAGAAAGTTTTATCCTTGAAACTTACCTCAAGCAGAGAACAAGATTACTTCTCTCACATCTCTAATTGTGGTTCTCATGTTGCTTTCTTTAGTCCATGGTGTTGCCATAATACCTTCATAAGTAAAATCACTTTGTTGTAAAGTACATTCTCCTTGATATCAAGAATCCTTTACTGGCTGCTCCTCATAAGTTACTCCTTCTTGAATTTCAATTACTGTCAAATCCACTACACGCCACGTATTAGACTCACATTTATGTAGCATTGACACATGAAATACATCATATAATCATGATAATTGAGTGGGAAAGGTAAGTTGATATGCC